CCTCTCCTCGCTCGGACCGATCGACACGTCATCTTTCCTCCTGCTCCCTCCAAAGCCATCCAAGAAAGAGCAGGAAGGGAAGAAGAAAGGCGGAACTGCTGTCGTCCAGTTCTTGACCAAACGAGGTGCTCTAGCGGCGAGCCAGGCTGGTGGGAGACGAGATCTGGGACTGGAGGGAGTGAAAATGGAATGGGCTGCTGGCGAGCCTGCATGGGTGGCGAAGGCGCTTGAAGAGACATCCAAACCGGTACGTCTCTGCTGGCTCCGACAGGACCTTGGCTAACCGACGCTCAGAAGATGGATGCACCGAGTCTGCCGAACTTTGACTTTGCCGACCAGGGACTGGATTACGAGAGCCTTACGCTAGCTCGGATGAGGCGCGCTGAGAGGGAGAGGCTGGAGCGCGAGATCAGGGAGCAGGAGGGCGAGTAGGGTCGGTGATCCATGATGATTGTGTGTACTTGTGCTGTCTCTTGGGTGTGGCAAGAGCTCATACGCTAGATGTCCATGTCAAGACAGGAAGTATGGATCCGCAGTAGGTTGGGATCTTTATACTCGGAAGATGAACGGTCATCACGCTGGCAGTCTTTCACACAGATCTACGATGCGGTTGAGGTACATAAAACTGACGCTCACATGCGCATCATGACCCTCTGTCATGGAATCGACATCTTCCTAGTGCAGGCGAAGAGAGACATAGGCGGATTCTCTGTATCATAGCCTGGCGCGAGAATTGTTATTCTCCCAACACTGCCAATAAAATGTTCTGTTACATATCAAGCTGCTGCGTGATAGACTGTGATGAAAAGCGGGCGGAACACTCTCGCGTCGTTCGACGGAACATACATGTACATTTGGCAACGTTAATGTTCTCAGCTTGTAGCACTCTCCTACTCATTCAGCCTATGTTCCTCCTTCCCTTTCGCCTTCGCCTCGCTACAATCCCCAGTCGTTTACTCCCCCATTGGCCCCCAATTTGGCCAAAAATCGTCGCTTTCCTTCGCTGCAGGGGCCATCCCATCCGGACCTTGTCACCAAAGAATATCCTCCCAGCATTTAACTCCATTGTCAGCGCAGAGTGCCACGCATGGCAGTTCTCCTGAACAGCTCTAAGGGACGAGAAAGGCACATAGATGTCCCACGCCAGCATGTCATTGTCGTAATCTCCGTATTCCATCACTGTCACTTCCTTCTCGTGAGATTTCAGTGAGAAGATCATTCGTATGACAGGTTTGAGTCCCGGCTGTGTAGGGTTCAAATCGGTGTCCCCAGAGCCGTGCATTTGGTGGACAATGCGATCCATGTCCTCGAACGATTTCTCAGAGGGCTTTTGCATACCAACTCGAGACCTGGTTTGGAGAAACATGGTGCTGGTGTTATCCGGCGCAATCGCCGTCCCATCGATAGTGTAGGGGAAAGCAGCGTCTATACCCTGTTGCCCGAACTGCGAGGAAATTGCGACACGTCTCGTAAGATACCGATACCATGACTTCAACCCCGGAACGTTCCCATAGATTTTGATGATGTGATTAAAGTTTCCGAATGAGTTCTCGAATGTCTCTTGAAAATTCTTGGTATGGAAACATCGACCACGTGATGCTTGGGAACTCTTGAGCTTCTGCCACGAGATATCGGTAAGCAGGCACTCGAAGAAGCTAGGTATCGAAAATTTGCCACTTCGAGTGGCAGCATCGCTGGCGAGGATCATAAGGAGTTCGGCCACCATCTCCCCTCGTTCACCCACACTGATCCCGGGAGAGCTGAAAACCCCGAAGAGCGCATCTGTTGCACTAAAATCCTTGCGCATTGCAGCCTTGGCACCCTCTGAGATGATTGGCTCGCTCGGAGAGCCGGTGAGAAGGGTTTCGTTATTATCGGTGATTCCATAGAGCACACGCATATGCTGAGCAATCTGCCGATTTATCGACTGGATGGCTGCACTTGTATTTGTGCGAATATCGAGTGGGATCCGTCGCGCTAAAATCGCCAGCTTTTGACCTTCATTGTACCCCGTTTCGTTTGAGGCGCCGACTAGTTTCTCCCTGGCAAAAGCCACCAAATCATCGCCGACATCACTATTGATGCCGTGCTCAGCCCGTGTGCGAAATCTTCAGACAATGCCAAGTCAGCATTTCCCATTTCCCAAGTACGGGTAAGAACGCTTACAGCATCCTCGACTGCTTGCACATGAACTCGGGTTTGCCCACTAAAGTCAGATCCATCTCATCCGGTTGTATCCGTGCCATGTTGAAGGGAAAGCTGGTGAACGCTGGCAAGTTATAACACGACCCCGATTGAATGCGGGCTGATGGATCCAACTGCATGGGAGCCGCAAACTGTGTGCTGCTGCCAGACGTTGAGACAAAGCATGGTGTGGTTTGTCGTTCAGATAGCGCGAAACCCGGCACAATACTGAGTAGGCGGACCAATCCGAAGCCCGATCCCCGGTGCAGCGATCTTTCCTGAACAATGTATGAGTTTCGTCGAATGTGAGCAACACAGTCGGTAGACTTGATGACTTGTCAGGCTGTAGACGGGCCGAGAATTTCTCGAACGAATCTATCATGCGAGACTTGCACGATCGCTCCCTGGCCGACAGGTGAGGTGACTGATTCATTTCTTGCCACATCTAGTGTGGATGAGTCGGATCTTACTTGCGCACATATTGAAGAACCCAGTGCGGACCTGTTTCGATTTCTCCACCACACTCTTGAAGAACTGGCGTCGTGTCGAGCTGGGTTCTTTCATATGCGTCCAGGTCGCCATGTACCCGCGAAACCAGTCTGCCATATCGGCATATTCTTGCTTCCCGCCCTTCTGCTCTATAAGAGAGGCCAATTCATCGTAGAGCGTCTTGAGAAAGCATAGTATCGCGGTTTGACACTCGTCCATCTCCTTCGGAAGCAGCAAGTATTCCAGCACCTCGGTGTCTGCAGGAGGGAAGCCTGCAACCACAGGCTCATCAGCACTATAACCCATACTGGTAAGCAGAATTATATACCACCACTCGCATCCCTGAGAACAAAAAGAACTGTGAAGAGTGTTTTGGGTGATTCGTGCACAATACGCGTCTTGCCCATGCCAGAAGAATTAGCAATCACGAAATTTGCCGCGTAGATCCCCGTGTCACTTCAGGACATGCTATAACATTCCTCGATGTGTTTGTGAAAGATATCCACACCATCTCCTACGTATTGAGAGGACCAGGACTTGACCGTGACTAACATCAGAATTCCATCAGTGATTGACAGTGGACGCCAGAGGGTACAGGGACATACCCCGTTCTTGGGCCCTGAATGAAACTGGAGAGTCTTTCGAGACAGGTGCTGACTTGGGAGGGTGAATCACATCTGATGGTGCAGGGAATACATAAGCCACAAGGTCGAGAGGATGCGCTACGGAGACACGCACCATAGAGCTGGCGTAATTCAATGGGGAGCACTGCTGGGTCTCGTTCGACTGCCCTCACAATCTCCCCTGCGGTCTGTCGCAACTCCGGTGAGAATCCGTCTAGCCTACCCATCGTTACCTGCGGCAGGTGATCCACACTCGTGTCTTCTGTTTCTGTTGTGTCCGCCCCATCGCTGATGTTGGCGAGCCGAGCAAATCGTACCCAAAGTTTAAGCTGCTTGAGCCACACTTGCACTTGGGCTTGACGCGCCGAGTCGGTATCACTATGAAGCGTCTTGGAAGGTGGGTGGTCTATATCTGATTTTTCATCTTGTGGACGCTTGTCGACTTTCTTTTTTGACGGCATCGTTTGGAGTCTGTTCACGTAGAGCTCTGCAAGTTGGCGCAACGTCCTACTTCAGGGTTGCACGTTGCACGTGACTAGTGTTATGCCTTGAGCGCCCAACTGACGTCACTTCGCTATCTGTTTCCGTGACACGTGACTATGGCGAGACCAAAACGGCGTGCCAACTTCTCACATAAAAATGAAGTATTAATCTGTCAGGTTGCCTCGTCAAATGGACGCCGACTGTTCATCATCCGGTTCAGGGTACAGAATCCCCCCAACAACGCCCAGCGGGCATACATTCTCAGCCTCTGCGCTTGTTCAACATGACCGCACTGACATCCCCAGACAAGGATTGCGTTGTGGCATTGGTAAAATATGCGAAGGTCCTGGTCATTCTTTTGCTGAATACCACCGTAACGCACTTGAAAGGATATTCGCAAGAATGGAATACAAAATGATATTCTCAGAGTGGTAGTGTACAATATGACCGTTCATACGTGAAAAAAAACATATGCATATTCCTACACCCGACGGTGTGAGACCCCAGCCAAGATGCTCACCTTCTCCGCGTTGCCCCTGTCATGACGGCTAGCGCGATCCGTCCCACACACTGGCCAGTGACGACCTTGTGCATATCACCTGCGTCCCACTTGTGTGCCTCGCACTCGAATGTCTGCAGGTTCGGGAATGTCCTGAGCAGGAAGGCGAATGTTGGCCTGGGCTCGGTGCACGATGCATATCCGGCGTTGTACTTCGTCACAGCGGAAGTGGTAGGGAAGTATCCATCGGGCGGTGGGGGAGGCGCCCCCGTGTCCAGATTCACGGCGAGTGTCAGGTCGGTCAGCTTTGTACATCTCTGGGAGACGAAGTCGAGTACTGCGCAGGTTGCGCGGGGCCATTTTTTGGGATCGCGCACCGTGAGGGACTCGACGTCTGGCCAGGATTCGAACAGTTGCTGGAACTGGTCGTCGGAGTAGTTCAGCCTGCACTCCCAGAAGCACACGTCGCGGAGCTTCTTGCACTGGGTGAGGGGCTCGAATACGGGGAAGGCGATGCTGTGCACGGGAAAGATGCGCGAGACGAGTTTGAGCGCAATGATGGTGCCTGCCCAGCGGGTGGAGATGGTTGATATGCTGGATTGTAATGCAGGGATCGTCTTGAACGGAAGCTCGAGACGCTCGATCTGGGAGGAACTGATCCGCTCAAGCAGGTAGGACACATCCAAGAAGTCCTTGTATGCGCCCGCAGTAATGACGAGGCTTTTAAGCTGCGAGAACGCGGTGGGAGGGAGCTCGTACGGCGGTTCTGGGCGGTCGGCGAACTCAGTGTGATCAACGACAGTGCCGAGCTGGAGGTATTGCAGCTCCGGGAGCGCAGCCAGAATAGGAAGGAAGGTCGTTCCCTGAAGGAGGAGCTTGAGGGTCAATCGGGTTATATGTTGCAGGAACTTGAACTGGAGCTCGAGGAAGATCTCCTCGAGCGCTGCATCCTGGTTCCAGTGCTCGAGCGTATCCCCGATCTGGAACGAGAAGCTCTTGAGCCTGCGGGCCTCCTTGCTGACCCCTTGCAATAGCTTCTGCAGGAATGTCGTATTCCGTGGTACGTCAACTTGGATCGTGAGGTCCGAGTAGGGCAACGCCTTCAGCAGAGGCACGAACACATCCGTGCACTGGTCGCCGAGCGGTGCGTCACGGTGGATGATGAGATGCAAGCTTTGGAGAGCAGGGAGGAATGAGGGGTGCGAGGAGATCATGATAGGCACGACAATAAGACGGGGGCATGATGTTATTAGTTGGTCGGTGAACCGGTTGTTCTCGATCGTCAAATGCCGGATATGTTTCGTATACTGCGCAACATGCTGCACTTCTGCCTCTTCCAGTTCGGGTCTGAGGACGTAAACGCCCTGCACACGACGTCAGCTCAATGGTAACCTTTGTACGGACAAAACGCACCCTGTGATCGTCTCTCCCCATTTCGAGCCCCTTTGGCAGTAGCCGCCATATCGCATACCGGTGCTCGACATGAGTCCACACGCTTGGGCGGACAGTGTCCCATACCTGAGTGCAGGTCTGTCCAAAGCGGAGCCGGTCGGGTGTGTCGAGGAAGAGCAGGATGTGGGAGACCAATTCGTGTATGGTGAATATCGTGTGCATCGTTTGTCGGCGCGGGTTAAGTGATCAAGAGGGTCATGCGCTAGAAAGAGCGTGTGCTGGCAATAGAAAGTAAATATACAAGTAGGCTTGTGTGGTGCTGGTCGTCCGAGTCCAGGAGGTCAAGTCGGGGCGCGGACGACAGACAAGCCAGGTGATCCCGCCTGTCGGTCGTGCACGGAGATGGGACGGATGAGATTAGATCCGCTGCTGCGTAATTTACTTCGTTGTCTGATAACAATTTGCAAAACATTGATCAAAATCAACTGATATTCAGCGCGAACGCTGTATGAGCTCGAAAAGGATATATCCACACAATAGAATGGCCACCGAGGTTGATATTTCGGCCGTCCGAGCTTTTCGGAGCCGCCAAGCACTCGCAGTCAATTCTAGTCCTGGTCCAGCTTAATCCCCAACAACAAATATCTTGATCACTACTATTTGGCACACTCTAGATCTCTCCTCTTTTTCTGTTTGTAATACATCGACTGATGCACTCGTTTAGACGCACAACAAAGCAACCAAGCACAGCTCTTGGGACTTGCCGTTCAAGTAGCCCAGAACACTGTTTGTTACACCGAGAATACCGTGACAGGATACATATCCATCCTTTCAAGTCGCCAACAAAAGATCCCTCGCCCCGTCCAAGCTCTACACCCCAACCTTCCCCTCCCACCTATGTCTCATCAGCCACGCACTCCATGTGAGTAATAAAAAGGCCCACATGTCCTGGAAGAGTTTCCACAGCACGCTGAACATCAGCCCTTGGAGGCCGTTTGCGAGGATTCGCGTGCTGAGGCCTCGTAGGAAGAGGGAGGCATACCCCGAGGACTGGATTATTCTGAGGGCAGCTTGGTCTGCATGTATGTCAGTATGCAGGTAATCGGCAAGGTGGAAAGGGGAAAGTGGAAGGGAAGGATAAGAGGCACGCACAGTAGCTGATCTTGCTCTGGTTCACTTGGCGATAGGTCTTGAGCACCCTGAGCGAGTTGCTCACCGAGTCGCTAACCACACTAGCCACAAACCCGATAAACGCCTGCCTGAGTAACCGCTGCACTCCCTCCGCTGGAGGAAGGACCTCGCTGAGCCAGTTGTAGGTCGCGAACCAAGGAAAGTTGCCCACGAAACTCGCGACGGCGGTGGCGATGGCGCCGTACCAGAGCGTACCTATGCCGTATGCTTTCACGCGGTCTTTGAGTATGCCCCACCCGGCACGACCCTGCGTCTGCATGGTCGTCTTGACGGTGTCGATCGGTACAAGGATCGTCCGGAACAGCGCAGCAGCCACGCTGGCGAACGCGGTCTTTGCAGGGCTCGGAAGGTGCTCGAGCACAGGGTTCGACGAGAGCAACGCAAGGATACCAACGTTCGCAAAGGTATCCGCAAACCGGGCGATAGGGCCTTGAAATAGTGCGGCTGTGAGGCCGGCGTAGTACCGAGTGACACCGCCTTCACGCCAGAGCTCTTTGGAGGAAGAGAACATGGTACCTCCGAAACGGTATTGGAAGTTCATGATCGTGCGAAGGGGCATGAGGGTGAGTACTTGGATGACCATGGCTGCTGCACCGGAGACGCCCTGGAACGGGGTGAGCAGATCATTCTCCGGAGTAAAGAGAGGAAGGGAAGAGACGTACACCACCGATAGCCTTCTTCAAGCTTCCCATGAAGTCAAACTTTGCGCCTCCTTTCACTATAGCGAGTACGACGCATACAGTGGTGAACGAAGAGAAGACGAGCCAGAAGATGAGCCACCAGATCAGTCTGCGACGCTGTTCCTCAGGAGGGACATGGCCTGGCAGGTCCTCAGGGTTAACGCGTACACCAGGGGGTGGATCTGCGTCGGATTTCGGCGCCCAGGTAGACGGTTCAGGTTGTGGAGGGAGGAGAGGGGTCGTCTCTGTTGAAGATGGTTCTGCATCTGCTGCTACTGATGGTGGGTCGGCAGGCTTGCCGTTGAGCAGCGGCTGAGCTTCGGGGTCGTCTACTGTCATTGTTGGGAAGGAGAGTGTGTGCGATGTGGAGGTATGCCGTCTATGAGGTGGATATATGCACTGCACAATTGCTGGCGTTATTGTTCTATCCCTGTAGTGACCCGTTGTGCGATAAGTATAGCCCATGTGCCAGCACTGATGATTATGATGGACGTTCGCGGACAGCCGCGGTGTTAGGGGTCCCAGCTGTCCGCGAAAGGCCACCAGACGTGGTTGTTGCTGGACAAGGGTCCTCGGCATCTAATTTTCCTCAAATCCATGTTTTTTCACTATTTGGGTTTAATTCCGATGATTTTTCTTTTTTTGTGGCTGTGAGCGAAGGAAAAGGTCTGCATTTGAGTCCAGGGTCTAGTATCTGTTTCCTTCTCAATGGAAGCAAATACTTCGCTTCCATTTAGTGGAAGCAGATAGGTACTCCTGCGCAGGCGGAGTTTTTGCTTCCGTTTCTCTTAATTTGCCTCCATTCGCCTCTGCGGAAGTTCTTACTCTCCTTGCTCCATCTTCCCTGATGTGTCTGTTGTTCTCCCATCATCACTCATCTGTTGAACACCACTCTTCTACTATACCTTCTGCCAACTTGGCTTTGGCCTGGGAGCAGTATTGTAACCAAACACAATGAGCAAGCCCATCTCACAACAATACATGACAGCAGTGCATCCCAGGACAACTCCAATATCTGACATTTATGATGACCAGCTCCCTCTTGTCTAGACCTCCTTGGCTGGTATTCTCCCTTCATCATCGACCAATACCCATACATCCAAGACTGCACAGTCAGCATGTTTAATTTGCTTTGGCCATGCCATGTGACATCAGACACCAATCTGATCTGCAGCAGAGGCTGATTCAAATGCCCCTTGGTGCTCAATAGTGCACAGGGGATTCCCCATCAACTTGCTTTTGATTTGCAGTACTGCTATCTGAATAAGGGAGGATACAAGGGCAGGGTACATGCTCACCTTCACTGGGGAGTATCTGGCATTGACATACATTGTTGGCTTACTCCAAAAAACTGAAAAGACGCTGAGTGGATGCTGTTATGACTTAGATATACCAACCTCTATCCATGCCAATGGCACCCACATTAGGGGTAGTCCCACTCACCTCTCACCAGTGAATTTGACCAAGCTCACTCTGTCCCATGCTCACCTTGCATCAATGTCTCCTTAGCTACCCAAAATCAAAGGCAGGAAACACATCAGATGGATGGCACCCATCACCAGGGTGAGAGGAATGCAAGAGAGGATAAAGTCAGAGGAGAGTGCTGAGCTGTGGTGGACTCACAGGTGCGCTTGATTCTGTTGTTGGTGAGGGGCTTCACTGATAAGCTGCAGGCTTCTTGATGGGCCTGACAACTCTGGTGCTGACTGCCATCCTGATGACTCACTGACTGATTTTGGCTAGGTCAATGCATTGGAATTCAGACAACAGCACACAATCACTGCCCACTATCTCCAGTCCATCACCCACCTCCTCCAGCCCATCACCCACCTCCTTTGGCCCATTGCTCTCCTCCCTGTGGTCATGATATGCCTGTCAGCACCAGTGGATATCTCCCTGTTGAACACCCTTTCTGCGGCATCTCATTCCTTTCCATTTCATCCTGGTCCCCTTCACCGTCATACACCACACACTGCTCCCATCACCCCTCTCCTCCACCTGCATCCTTGCCTCACCAACAGCGCAGCCTGTTTCCTTTCCACCACTACTTCCATGCTCACTCAACTTTGTCTGCCCATCTCTTTGCATAACTCACTCTGGCCATTTGGAGGCTTGTTGAGATGTTTGCCCCCTTCTTTCCCCCATCCGGCCTGGACCTACTGGGTACAAATCATGGTCCACAGGGACAAACACTGCATATTCCCTCCCTGCTCATTGAGCAAACCATGAAGTGTTTGCCGACAGTCTGTCTCTTCTCCTTTTTGGGGAAGGGGGAAGGGGGCTGCAAACCCAAGCATTTGGCTCAACTTCACCAAGTCAGTCTCAGTCAGCATCACCAACAGCATTGTAGACTTGCTTCCCATGTTTGAGCCATGAGCTCAGCATGTTGCTGCTGCACTTGATCAAGCCATTCCATGCTGGCATTCTGTGTCATGTGCTTTCAGGTGCACATGCGCACACCACCTGCACTTGCTTCATGCTCAATAAACATTATCGACCCGTCTGTCCTCTCTGCATCTAGTACCCTCCCTCACAGCCATCTCCTGATCACTCTTTAATTGCCCTGCTCTTCTCCATGGGTCAGGCTGGTACATGCATCACCCAGCAAAGTTCTGGAGAAAACAAGGAAGCTGCTCCAAGCAGGGTCAACCCTTAATGAGGCATCTTTGAGCTTCCAAGAGTGCGGGAGGATGGGACTATGGTTGGTGTTGGACAAGCACATGGGCAGGTTTTGGCGAGCATCAGCAGGATTGGGCAAGGGTACAGTGGATGCATCCTTGACTTGTGTCAGGGGAGACTGGGGTGACCTTTGGTGCTGCCAGGTAAACAATCCAATCATTACTGCTGGTCATGGAAGTAGATGGCTTGATGTACCGTGACACATGGGCAGGAGAGCAGGTCGAGAGTTGACAAATGCAGGAAGCGAGTGGCATCAAAATCACAAGATATGCACAATGGGAAGTGCCTTGATCTGGGCATTGTGCACTCTATCCTTCATGCATCTTTGCACACTCTCAGCATTCATCTACGATGCCCTTGCAAGACAATAATCCACCTTTTGAGCAAGACCAGAACCCAACACTCCTCTATGTTCCACATTCTTGGCACCAATATAACTCAGCAGCAGCAATGCGCAACCCCTTCTCTCCAACATCTGCATCTCGATTGACCCCAACACAACCCTTGCTACTCCATTCATCAAATTCCACCAAGGACAGACATAACAGGGATGGCATTTCCTTGATTTCCTCTTTCTGCTGAACAACCCCACCTCTGGTGGGGTGTGTCAGGCCGATATTCCCACGGCTATTTTCGGGCCCTTAGAGACTGTTGCATGGCACTATAGAACCTCACTACACAGGACAATGCACCCCAGCGACAAGTCTCGACTCCCACAAATATTCGGCATGACAACTACTAGGATTCCCCATGTGACGGGACCACCCGGATATTCGGCATGACAACAGTGGGTTTCCTCCACAATGGGATCGACCCACCCAGATATTCAGCATGCCACCATCTGCCTTGGAGAGGTATCTGGAGACTGGTTTAGTATAGAGTACAGTTTAGATTAGCTAGTATAAGTAGTTTCCAGAAACTCCTGTATGTAGCTTATTCTGCCCCTTTTCTGTTAGCGTTATATGGATCCGATTATCCCCATACTGGATAAGCAACATCATCTTAACTTAGTGTATTCAACTTGACTTATTGTGACTTGACTGGACGGACACTGAGCTCTGGTTATAGCATACTGATTTTTGATAGCTCAGCTACACGCTGACTCCCGCTTTTCTACTGACTTTCCCCTTCTCTCCCCTCTTTCCCCAGCAAGTTCTCACACACCACCCATCGGACCAATATTTCGGACACCTTTTGGGTCAGATCACTGCACAGTAAAGATTCATTCTGTCAACCTGAGCTGACATCTCCATACTGTTACCAAGGTGTCTTTGTGCATGTTATCATTGTGTTCAACAAATGGCATACCTATACAGATCCACACATCAGACTCATTGGTACTACAAAAGGCTGGAATGGTCTCTCAACCACCCCTTACTATGACTTATACAACATGGCCATTATTTTGCCATCTCTTCTCTGTTATGCACTTTCAATGAATACCCAAGACTACTGCTGTGCTCTTGTGAACAATGAATGCAGTCACTTCAGTGCTCCTAGGCCCAGGTTTAGGGCCCCAGATGCTGATTTTGAGTGTGCAGGATGATGTTAGTGTTGAGTGTACTTTTGAGGCCAATGAGAAGGAAATATAGGAGGCTGGGAAGGTATGGACCTTGCCCTCACACCCTCATACCCCTACACCATTACACCATTACACTCTCACACTCTCACACTCTCACACCCTCACACCTTCACACCCTTGCACTTGGGGGTGGTGTGAGCAGAGCTTGCATGGCTGATTCCCCCCCAAACAGCACATGACCTATATTAGTCAGCTTACTATGGTAACTGTAGTCTGCAGCAGACAGTAGAGTGTTTTCTGCAGACTTGGAAATAGTGTGTCTCAGGTTTGGCAAATACATGGAAATCCTACACTGCACAATTTCACCTAAACATTAGCTTGGTGCAGATTTAGGTAGTGTAAAAACTGAAAGATTCTTATTTCCATTGGAGGATTGCAGGATTATTCTTTGTGTGTTTGGCATTCAGTTTGGATATCTCCTTTACCACATTTCCTGATAAATGGTATAACAACTTGTTTCCAGGATTATTATTATTATTATTATTATTATTATTATTATTATTATTATGTGTATAGACCCCTGTGGGAGTCCTTCAAACAAAATAAGAAAAGGGATACTGCAGCTGGAAAGGACTCTGTAGTGGTTAATATCTAAATCTAGGGCTAGGGCATCCAAGGGGACTCTGTCAGGGACTGATATGAATCAGCATATGATAGCAGGGGCATGTTGGGGTGAGAAGGGCCTTTGGGATGCTTCAAGACCTTCATAGATCATCTAAGGGTCACCACATAGGTATGCTAGCAACACCCTATGCCTCTCAATATGTTCCAATTAATTATGCAGTCATTCACCAAGTGTCATGGGTTTCCATAGTCATAAGAGGGGTCCCTATCATGGCCATGTCTTGGCTCAAGGTTTAATGTATGAAGTGGAACCTCACTATGCATTCACAACAGGGGTTTCCCCCATAGCCATTCATTTAGGTCTCTCTCATCATGATAGATACATACCATGACAGTCAATACACTCATTGCATTTACAGACTCATGATCAGTCTGACACACAACACAGTGACATTTCCCACATCAACTCAACATGCAACATGACAACATTGATTAATGACTCTTAAAATGTAATAGATACATACTGTGACAGTCAATACACTCATTGCATTTACAGACTCATGATCAGTCTGACACACAACACAGTGACATTTCCCACATCAACTCAACATGCAACATGACAACATTGATTAATGACTCTTAAAATGTAATAAGATCAATATTAATTGATTGAATCTGATGCCTTCAGTTTGCCTGCAAATACAAAGCTGTAAAAACAACTATTGGCCACCTTGCAACAGATGTTCTGCACCTCTCTAGTGGAATATCCCAATACATAGCCTCATTGCATCCCATAAAAATCTCTCCTACATGTGTGCTTTGATTGTGTGCATATAGGGGTCAATAATATTATCTAATGTAGGGTGCACAAAGGTCTGCTCAGAGCTTATAAGCCCTGCTGACATGATATTCAGATTGGACCTGATGGAACACAGTGATTATGTAATTATTATTATTGAAACTCAGTGGAATCAACTGCACCCCATGTGAGTGGCATGAGTTGGCCTGCCACAGGCCAATTCATGCCGCTAGTCTGCTGACCTCATATGTAATTTGTCATGAGATATTATCCTTTTAGGGCTTTTTCCTTTTTTGTAGCAGTTATAGGGGTCCCAGTGGCAGCCACCACCTCACTTTCACACTCTGCTGTTGCTGAGCCTGGCACAGAGGCAAATGTGCTTCTTCCCTCATGAATTCAAACCTCACACTATCAACTTTCCATAGATTTGAACTAGAATCTAGTTCAAATGCAGGTTGAATGCAGGTTGAATGGCACATGGACTCAAATTCAACATGATGGTGATTGTGCATGACTGGCTCAAGGCACTTGAAAAGTCAATGCTTCTGGAGGATATCATGAGGTGAGCAGTGTTGCTGGACTGATGTGTGTCTGAACTGACATATCCTCAGCACTTCCTATACCTGTGGCATCCCTGGGGAGGTCCATGGACAAAGGAGGATCTCCAATGCTGGCTGGAATTGGAGGAGGGTGTGGGGTTGTTGACATGGAGGGTATGGCTTGCTGATATGGAATGAGCAGGGTCATTCTGTGTTGGTGCTTTGGGCCACCATGAATGGTTTGTCAGAGGATTGCTTCAACTACTGGAACACAGTCTGCACCACAACATGGCCAATGTCTCATCATCATATCTCTCAAATGAAAATCTGCCTTTCAGGAGAGAATTCAAAAGCAGAATTGGCACTGATCTTCAATATGTATTGATGTACTGTGGTCACCACCTGTTACACTCTGCAGAAGGATTCAAAGTGGAAGAAGAAGTGGATGGCTTGATAAACTGTCAGGCTCCTGTTCTGGTTGGAGCTTGGCTCTCTGACAAATATGCTGGTTTGGGTCACATGGTGTATTGAGTATGCAAGAAGATGGCTGTGTGTAGGTCTCACTTGTCACCAAAACACAATATGTCACTGAGATGATTTAGATGGCCATCCTGGCTGAAATGGCCCATGATACACTGAAGTTCATCCAGAGCCACAGCTGCATGATGTGAAGATGCGCCCCACACATCTATCTATTGATCTGCCTTGGTATGGATGCCTTCAGAATCCACACTCAGATGTTTTTATGCCGGATGTTTCTGGGAAAAGGCTATGTGCAATTTCAGAGAGCACTGGATGGGTTCATTCTGTCATGGAGGGACACAACTTCTGGGTGAACTCTGTTGCATTCTTGCCCAATGGTTCTCAAATCATGTCTGGTTCATACAACAATACAAACAAGGTGTGGAATGCACAGATGAGCACTGTGATTGGCCTACCAATGGAGGGCCACAAAGCATCATCTACTCTGTCACATTCTCGCCCAATGGCTCTCAAATCATGTCTGGTGCAGGCAACAAGACAATCAGGCTATGGTGTAATGCTGACAATCCTCCAAATAGTGCTGTGGTGGACTGCTCCTTGACCTACCCAACCAATCCCTCAAATCAACTTGAGCTGCTCTGTTACTCCTCAGCATCTTCCTCCTCTGGTCCGGTATGTAGTGCTCACAGTCAATCTTCACAATTGCCTGTCAGTTTCTCGGGTCCAGAGAGTGAGTCATCAGGTGTATGAGTCATTGACAGCTCTGGTTGAGGGTGCAAAAGGTGACCTGATGCTTTGATATGATCCACACTGGTTCAGCTGCAGTCAAGGCAGGGCTTGACTCTGTCCCCTCTGGAAGAGCACCAGGCACAACAACCATACAGCTGTGAAGAGCCGAACTGCCAGTGCATGACCATTGAGTGGGAGACCAGATGGATCATGGGGCATGGAAAGGACCATCTTTTTTGGGTACCTCCAGACAAAACCTGATGATTGCACAATGGAAGACAACTTCTGGTCATACCAGGTCCCACAATCCATATTGATCTCAGTCACTTTGTGCATGGGACAAGATGGGTTGAGTGATTTTCTTCAGATGTCACAGATGATTGAGTATGCTGGTGGTGTAGGAGATAGAGGTAGATTGACAGTCTGACTGAAATGATTATTTTGCAGTGGTTAATACAGCATCTGTTACCTTCTCTGGCTGGCAGCAGTATATTGGATGATCAACACTGGCGCAGTGCCGCCTGGGCTGTTGGCTGGACAGAATTGTTTTGTAAATGTATTGTCCCTTGCCCACTTGCTACAATGCTGCTGATGGCTACATAACAACCCACTGGGACTGGCTTTTGAGAGCACTGCAGCAGTTGAGATGGTAACATATCCCTTGTACAAATTCAAGCTATCCTCCAGAGATTTGTGCTTGATTCTGCTCAGCACTGCATGGTCCTCATCGTCTTCCTCAGGATGCAAATCCATGTACTTTGCTGCACTGGCCAGGTGAGTGACAATGGTGCAAGACCAGTGAATCGCAAGCAGTATTGGTGAAGGAGCAGGGAAGTCTGGGTGGTCCAATGTCAAGTCAATGGTCACATTGCCCATCTTGTATTCACAAAGAGTCTTCAGTGTGTATTTGTTTAGAGTTCCCTATCAAGGTATCAGTTAAGTTGATATTAAAGGAGAAACACTGCAATTTGAAACATATCTGAGGTTGTAGGTAGCAGTGGAGCTGATCAAACCACTCATGACAAAGCAAAGTGCCTGTAAAGATGTTCTCAAGCTGGTGGATCTGTGGCCCATAAAGATACATCAGCAGTTCAATATTGTCTGTCATCCAGGCCAAGACAGCCATGCAGGTGCCAGTCCACTCATGCTGAATTGCCTGGTATGCCCTGCATGGGTCTGGAGGCATTGCACTCACCTTGTCATCATTGTGCTGCCTACTGATGAAGCCTTGTGGAATGATGTGACAGAGTTTTGTGTTTGCCCTCATAGGAATGGAGCCATTGCTGGCCAGAGTTGTGACCAAGCCAGCTTCAATTCAAACTTCATTGACATATCCATCGAAAATACAATGAAATTGGTCATGCTTAAGTGCCTGAGAACCTTCAGCAGGTCTAACAACTGAGCAGGCTTGCAAACACATACCTTAGCTTTGCTTGATTCATGGCTTTTTGGCACTGATTCTGACATCATGGGATAGAAGTCTGCCTGATCTTCAAAGGATGGTCAAGATGGATGTGGGGACAGGGCTGGAGGACCAGCTTGCTTGACTGCAGAAGGACAATGTTTTAAGCACAACAGATATCAAGGTTCTTGATTGGATGTACAGATCCTGATAAAATGCTGCCACCACATTTCCCCTAGTTCCAGGACCACCTCCTTCTGGTTCTCACAGCTGTTGATTTGGACAGCAATATCTCTACATGTGATAGGCACTGGTGGATAGACTAGAAACCAGCCAAGGATGTGCACTCAGATCAAATCCTTCTTTTGGCACAGTTGCATAAGCCCTGGATGGTGACACATGTCCCGTATGCCTGTGTCTGATCATTGTCAAAGTGAGCTGGAGCCTCTTGAGCCAGTGCGAGAGGATAGGTTGGAAAGTCCATGTTGACTGGTCTTGGTTCAATGTTGTTGTGAGTTGCAGTGAGTGACAAGATGGGATAGGCTGGTCTGATTCTCTCAAGTGGAAGACCCTGTGGATAATACATGCTGGATTTGATGCTGGAGTTCATTCAGCCCAACTGCTGGGTGCCTGGCCAAGCCCCGGAGCCAAAGCCATGGCAAGTTCATCTCTTGGCATGACTGCAATGCTGACTGTGGTCACATTAATCTCATCATCATACATCCTCCTCTTTCCTAGAACTGCGACAGAGGTTACTAACATATGTTTGTGTGTGGAAGGTGATATAATGGAGGGCATGGCTCCATCAGTCCCAGCCAAACTTTATCAACATCCTGGCGTTACTGACCTCCATGTGCCTCGTCTGCCAGTGTGCATCACCCTCTCACTGGCATGAATGGTGCATGTGCCTTTTTGTCAACATTGATACTGCCAATCATGGGCACAACCTCGTGCAAGTAGGGTGGAGAGCTCAAGAACAGACTGCTCTTTGTTCTGACCACCCCTGTTCAGAAAGGATGGATAGGCATGTTTCTTACATGCAAGCTAATTTTCCTTGCCCATCGAATCACAACAATTTCCAGATGATCAACCCAGCAATTGTATCCTACTGACCCCATTTTGTAATGTGATCTCGACATGGGAGCAGTCTTGCCCCACTCAACCCTGACAGTGACCATTATCTCTTCCTTCCACATTGACCCCTCTAAGACTCAGCTCCAGCAAAGCACCATGATGCTCATGGTCAGTCATACTGCTCATGCCAAGTCCAATCCTCCTCTTGTCCTCTCCCCAACACACATCATCTCCTCTCTCAGCACATCATCCTGCACCAGCACCTCCTCGCCCTCTGCCAATGAAGCCGCCCAGAACACACTCCCCCCCATGGCCAAGACAGCCATCCTCCCACCCACACACACCCAGATGAGCACTAACAACCCTGTGAGAGCCATCCCAAACACTTTGAGGAATGATGCTAGGGGCATAGGGGTGCGCAAGGCAGAGAGCATGAAGGTGAAGTGCATATGTACACCAAGAGGGGAAGGTGAGTCCCCACCTGTTGTGAGTCAGCTCATGATCTACAAGGGGTATTGTGTTAAGCCAAGAATAGAGAAAGGTGACTGGACCTGGAGGATGAACAGGAAGAGCAGAGAATGGGGAGAGCAAGGGAAGAGTATTGTTGGGGTGGTGAAGACAGGACAAGGGACACTATTTGGGTGAGAGAATTGTATTGCTAGTTTCCACCTTTCTGGTCCTGACCATCCATCCCACAAGCTGATCCCACCATTTCTCAGCCTCTGCTTCACCATTGCACCCAGAAACCACCTCAATGAACATTGTCAGAGTATCTGGAGGTTGAATTCATGTGTTGCAGCTATTGCTTTACCTCAGTGAATGACAACATTCAGTCTTTCATCCCTGAGCTGGAACCCCACACAGCTGGTAAGCATGTTCCCTTCCTTCTCTACTTCCTCCCACTCATTGCTGATCCCTCCCTTAAGCATAGCAACCATCTTCCTCCACCTGTGCTCCACATTCCAGCATGCCTTCCCTGATCCCGACCCAACACTCTCACCTGCCCACCTGCTCCTCACAGTCACCTCTAAGCGCTGAGGACATGCACACCTCTTACACTGTCAGACAGTCCACAGCTTCCACCACAATGCACGCAACCTGGATAATGTTGACTGACAGGGTGTTGATATGCAAACAAAGAGGCCTTGTGCTGCTCATGTGGGGTGGTATGAGAGGGTGGTAGAGTTTTGCCATGAGAATGCCATCAAGGGTGGCTATGAGGCAAGGATTGGGGAGAGGTGACTGGTATATATGATGAGTAGGGAAGGTGCATCATCTTGTTCATGCTTGTCTTGAGATGAGAGGCTGAAACATACTTAGTGATAGTCCCTTCCAACTCCACAAGCACCCATGAACAACACACCTACACCACACCATACTGCCCCATCACACTCTGGCTCAGCATCCTGAAAATACACTCCACCTTGTTCTTTCCACTGCCTTTGCCTGGGCAAGTTGACTGCCTTGACACCTTGTCCCACCCCTCATGCAATCATCTCCCCCATCCATTGTAGCATGCCCATGCAGTTTGTGCCTGACTGTGCAATTGTGAGGAAGGTGACAGAGGTAAATTCTAGGCACTATTTATGCATTTTCCAAACATATGTGCTGACATGCTGTTGCAGGCTTCAGCCCCTGACAGGCCAAGGGAACAGGCAGGTCAGGAGGAAGTTTGAAGGTTAGGCCAATGCTTGTGTCCTGCAGCTACGTGCAGTGGTCCCATCTGATCTTCCAATCTCGTGCTCAGCATTTCCAGCCCATAACTGCCTGCTGTATGGGGGCATTGCAGGGAGGGCAAGGCTGGGGTGGAGAAGGCAGGAGTGAGAAGGGTAGGTTGAGTACCCAGAAATAATCTCTGCTGTCTTTCTTTGCTCACAAGACTCAACAGGACACCCAGGCTGCAAAAGGAGGAGAGCAAGGATATGGGAGGGTGCTTGGTTTGGTCAGGAGGCTGGGATGCTGCTTTGCAGTGTCTGTTACACTAGACAAATCTGCATGCGATAGCAGCCCACTTGTGAAGCAGGGAAGGATGGGGTGTACAGTTCCCATGAGCATCAGGCTCTCTAGTGTCCCTCCATGCTCACACCACTGCACAGAACATGTGATGAGCCTAGGAAGGAGGAGTGTAGGAAGAGGGATGCGCTTAGTCTAGGGTGTCTAGGGCAGCATTATGTGGTGTGTACACTGCACCATTGTCCTCCATATCTGCATACTGACCAATCTTGCAGGTGACAATGGCATGCTGAACAACCCCACCTCCAGTGGGGTGTGTCAGGCCAGTATTCCCATGATTATTTTCAGGCCTTAGAGACCATTGCGTAGCACTATGGATCCTCACTATGCAGGACAACACACCCCAGCAATGAGTCTCGACTCTCTGGATATTCGGCATGACAACTATGAGGTTTCCCATGTGACAGGACTACACAGATATTTGGCATGATGATTATGGGTTTCCTCCATGACAGGATTGACCCACACAGATATTTGGCATGCCAATGCCTGCCTTGGGGAGGTATCCAGAGACTGGTTTAGTATAGAGTACAGTTTACAGTAGCTAGTATAAGTAGTTCCTAGAAACTCCTGTACTTAGCTTATTCTGCCCCCCGTTTCCATTAGAGGTATATGGATCCAATTATTGGTATACTGGCAGACTGGACTTGACTTAGCGGATTTGACTGGACTTATTGTGACTTGACTGGATGGACACTGAGCTCTGATTATTGCATACCAACTTTTGATAGCTCAGCTACAGGCTGACTCCTGCATTCTTACCAACTTTCCCCCTCTCTCCCCTCTTTCCCTAGTGAATTCTTGCACACCACCCATCAGACCAACTTATTTGGACCCCTGATATTTCGGACACCTTTTGGGTTGGATCAATGCTTGACATGGCATGAAGGGTGGGAGGGGCCAGACAAGGGTAAGGGATTCCCATATGCTGGCTGGGGACCAACATCCTCGACATATTCAGAAGAATCAGAATCTCAGGGAAGGTAATACTGTTGTACTCATAGACAAACCACAGACTTTATGATTATACATCACACATGAGCTCTCTGCACCAGATCCATCTTGTTGGCATATGGCTGGTGAAAAGTCCTTCCTCAGAAGTTAGAAGCTTCAGGAGTAACAAGCAGTTAAGGTTCACTTGGGCTGATGTTAGTCAACATGGTTTTGATTGGTGCTGGTGTTCGTGATTAGAAATTGAGGTGGGTGGTGGTGGGCCTTCACAGTGAGGGGCTGATTGCCTATGTTTGACTTCTACTGAATATAGTACTTTGGAATCACACCTCACCCCCCTACAGCATCTTTGCCCCTCCATCCTTCATTTTTTATGCCCCTGGCCCAGCACCTGAGGACACTCCCATCAGGCTGCAGTCAGTGATCAACTGGGTTCCTGTCAGAGCAGTGCATCTGCATCTGTATATGTTCTGAGGGACTGGGATGCTGCCAAGGCACATCAGCAAGCTTGGGGTTGTTGATAGAGTTGGCATTGACATGTGCATCAAGAAAGTTCATGACAAGGGCAATGCACAAACTGGGGGTTGGGGGGTGTACGGCATTTCTGCAAAGCTTGTTGAGGGTTAGAAGGTGTCAGGGCACCAGCTCATTGCTTGGTCAAGAGACATGACTAAGCCTTTATGACATGGAAGTAGCTGGTATACCTTGGCATGTGCTGGAACCTGCTGGAAGGATTGGATGGTCAGGTGACCTGCTGTGCATGGCTGTGCATGACCTCATATGACCTCATCCTTGGTCATATGACCTGATCACCTGACTAGGCTGAGTAAGCAAGATGTTCTAGCAGGTTCCACCACAGAGGCATAAATATAAGGCCTACTCTGCCTGGGGACTGTCTCTTCAGACTTGGTCTCTTAGGAGCATCCACAGGTACCTATACTGTAGATAGGTCTTAGTCATCAGGTCTACTCCACTTCCTTGTTGCCTGCTTAGACTCTTGGCACTCTTAGGTGAGCAGACTTAGTCAGCCTGTGTTGCCCTAACAGAAGGGCCATTTCAAGATCTGAGACACCAGGTAGTCAGGGGTAGGCAGAAGCATTTGGGAAACAGCTGTCCTCATCAGCCTACCATGTTCAGTGCAGTGTTCTGATGCACTCACAGAGGTTGT